GCAGCTATTCCGAAGCGCCCGTTTCACCCCCACTCCCACCCCGCACGCGCGCACGCGCGCGCTTCAATCCACAGTGTCCCGTTCTGCCTGCCTGCCTGCCTTAGTTTCTGGTTGTTTGGGAGCAGCTTCGGCTGAGAATAATAACTATTCGCCTCTTTTACTCAGCCGAAGCTGTTCCGATTCAACCATTAACGAAGGCAGGCAGGCAGGCAGAGCGGGCGGGCGGGCGGGCGGGGTGGGGGTGGGGGAGAAACGGGCGCTTCGGGGAAGCTGCGGCGACAGGAAAAGCCCCCCCCCCCGCTTCTTTGAAGCAGTTTCTTCCTGTGCTGGTGGAGGAGCGAGAGAGCGACTGAGAGAGCTGACCCAGAGAGAAGGACAGGCTTCGGTTGCTTCCTCCCTCCCCTTCTTTCATTTGTGTCCTTGATCCCCGATCCCAGCAGCATTCACCGAAGGTGAAGAAAGCCGCCATTTTTTTTAAAAAAAATTCTTTGTGGCCCGGTAGAGAGTGCTCCACGGCCCGGTACCGGTCCGCGGCCCGGTGGTTGAGGACCCCTGATCTAGGGTGTTGGCTATTCCTGCCAGCTTAGTGTCATCTGAAAATTTGATGAGTTCCCCTTCTATTTCCTCATCTAAGTCATATATAAAGATATTGAACAGTCCTGGACCTAAGACAGAACCTTGTGGTATCCCACTGCTTACTTCCCTCCATGTAGATGTAGTAGTATCAGTAAGGACGATTCATTGAGTACAGTTTGTCAGCCAGTTACAAATCTATCTGATGGTGGTGCTATCAATCCCACTTTTTTCTACCTTACCAAGGAGTAGGTTATGGTCTACTTTGTTGAATGTCTTACAGAAGTCTAAGTATACTATGTCTACAACATTTCACTAGTCTACTAATTTAGTCACTTTGTAAAAGAATTAAATAAGATTAGTTTGACATGACCAGTTTTTAACCAATGCATCCTGGTTTCTAGTTATAAGTTTATTTGTTTCTGGATGTTTGCAGATCTGGTTTTTATTATCTTCTCCAGTATCTTCCCAAATATGCATGTTAGGCTGATTGGTCTGTAGTTTCCTGGGTCTGATCCCTTTTTTTTTCAAGATGGGAATCACATCACATCTTTTCTAATCCTCAGGTAATTCCCCGGTGTTCCAGGATTTTTGAAAGATATGGTACAATTGTTCTGAGATAACATATGCCAGCTCCTTCAAAACTCTGGGGTGTAATATATCAGGTCCAGTGATTTATATTCATCAAGGTCAGACAGGTGTTATCTTACCATTTTCTTGGATTTCTTGTTTTTCTTTTTCAGTGGTATTGTGCTGGACTGGACTTTTATGAGCATATTTTGCAGAATTTCCCAAGTTTTCTTGAGTTGTTTTCCCATTTAGGATTTTCATCCAATGAACCTTTCCCCAAGCTCTGAGTTTATTAAAATCAGCTCTTTTAAAATCTAAGTATGATTATGTTCTATTATATATATTGTATTATGTTCTGGTATGATTATGTTCTATTGCTTGTGTTTACATTATGTTGAATTAGTTTAGTTTAGTTTAGTTTAGTTTAGTTTATTGTTATTGCATCTCACACAATGAAATTAAATGCCATTTTCAATGTATGTTAAAACTATAAAAATAAAACACAAACACACATCCTTCACATTCTATACAATTGAATTGAAAACCCAAATATAGTTGCTGCCCTGGGATAGAAGCTAGTTTTTAGCCTATTTGTCGTTGTTTTTATTATTCTGTACCATCTGCCAGAGGGTAATAGTTCAAAAAAAGGATGCACAGGATGAGATGGATCTTTAAGAATTCCAATATGACATATTCAATATGTGTTACTTATACTTTACTTATGTTTTCTTTCAAAAACAATTCTTTCTCTTCATTTCTTTTATCTTCTCTTATGACTCTCATTTTCTTTTCTCTTCCCCAAACTCTCAATACTTTGTACATAAGTTTCAGCTCTCAGAAATAAAACTCAAAATGCTAGTGAAGTTATCTGTATTTATATAATAATGAATTTGCTACTGTCTTATGTCTAGAAAACTTAAATATTCTAGAAGTGAGAAGGAGACAATTTGGAGAATTGTCTCAAAGCTGCAGGACCTATCACCCCTCCTCAATTAGTGGCTCCAGAGGAAGGGGAAAGGATTTATTTATACTAAATGAATCTATTTTTATATTATGCATAATTGCAGGAAATGGTGGTTATGCAGCAGGGGATGAACTACAGAAGTAAGGGCTTCTTACAGAGTGGAGCATGATTTATAGAAGTTTGAAGGCCTGATGGGGAAGATCCAGAAAACGGAGATTTTCTGTATCTGTTTTATAAAACACCCTTCTCTTTGGGTGCATTTGCCAAGTTATTTCTATTATTATTATTATTGAAATTATTTTACTTGAGCAGCTGGGATAAGCAAACTCTGTACTCTGGAAGATTTCCAGTTCATGATCTTCCACACACCATTCTGTAAGCTGGTGCAGAAGTCTTTTGCACGGATCTTGTTGAATGACTTCCTTGCATCTCACAAATCAGACACAGACAGTGGAATCTACAATGGGCTCAAGGATTTCAGGTCAGTGAAAGCTATCAGAATTCCTTCGCCAATTCTATATACAAAAAAAAAAAATTCACAAGCCTTTTAATGAGAGGTACCTTTTAATGGGAGGTCTTTTTGTTTTGGGAGGGGGGAGAGACAGTGAACTACAACTGAGAATTTAATAGCTACTTTAGGATTCAGACAGCAGATTTATGAGAAAGGATCACTACCTGGGTGATTCTATACAGAGAAATAGATTATTAGATAAGCATAAATTTGTGGAATCTTAAAAAAACCCAACTACATTTATTCCTTTGTAATTCTTCATTAATTCACACAGTTCCCCATTTAAGCCTTCTGTAGCAGAGCCATTTAGTGGAGAATGTTATCACACTACCGAGGCAATTTCACAAGTAGCTGAAAATGCAGAGGAGTTCACTGCAGTTTTGGAAGAACCTGATATTAACTTTCACTATTACCATATGGTTTAAATAAAACCTCTCAACACAACTGAAAAAAAAAGTATCAAAACAAAAAACAAAATTGGGACTTTTTCTTTAAGGATATTAACAAGGTTGAGGATTTCATGATAAAAAGAATGGCCTATAACTCCTTGATAAAACTTACAGAGAAGAAAAAGAATTTATTCCATGAAGATAAGCTGGAAGGAGTCACTTAAACTTAATGAGTGAACTGGAATTAGGATGGATTTATTTATTTTTGTTTAATATGTGTAACTGAAAGAAAGGTTTAATCCAAAATTTGAAAATGTGTGTGTGTATACATACATACATACGGGGGGGGGGGGGGGAGTAGTGTTTCCCTGAAAATAAGACCCACCCTGAAAACAAGATTGCTCCATTCCCAAGTGCTCCATAGGCGACCAAACACTTTTTGCCCAGATGGAGAAATGACAGAGATTCAAAGCTTCATTTGCTTGAAAAGGGGACAGTTTGAAATGGGGTGATTAGTTTCAAAGCATGCTCTTTGCAAGCAGACAAACTTTTATCTCCCTCCGGGCGAAAAGTGTTTGGGCAGCTACCACCGGCCCCACCCTCTCCATACCACTATCTGCCTGCGGGCTCAATCGAGGCCAAGCTCTCAGCACCCCCTGGACTCCACTTGCCCTGCCAGGAGGGCAAAGAGCCCCCACGAGGCCATCAAGAAGTGTCCTGGCAGCAGCTGGGCCAGCAGGCAAAGTATGTGGAGGCCGGGGCATGCCGACACCTTGGCCCATTGCAGTTGCGGGCAAGCAGACAGTGGGATGGAGAGAGTTGGGCTAGCGGTAGCTGTGCTCCTGCTCCCATAAAGACCCTGCGCTCACTGCCTCCTGCACTTAAAAAAACAAGACCTCCCCAAAAATAAGCCTGAGTGCTTATTTTCAAGCCCAAAAGAAAATAAGACCGGGTCTTATTTTTTGGAAAACATGGTGGATGGATGAGTGGGTGGGTGTGGGTAGGTGTATGCATATTGCTTAGTGGGTGAGTGGGTGGGTGTGGGTGTATGCATATTGCTTAATTAATTCTTAAAGTAGGCAAATGGTATTGAAAGTGTATTTAAGAGTATCTGTATTAAGAGAAAGTTTTAAAAAATGATGTACCAATTTAAAGAAAAACTCAGCGTGTTAAAAAGGCTATTTATAAAAGGAAAAATATTATTCTATAAGGATAGTTTGGAAGGAGGTATCTAAATATAATACTGAAGTTTAAAGCTTGTATGGTAAGAAGTGCTAAACTTTTCTTAAACACTTTTTAAGTCAAAACTTTCTAATGCATCTTTTTCTTTGATGCATTAGAAAGTTTTGACTTAAAAAGTGTTTAAGAAAAGTTTAGCACTTTATAAAAGGGTGAAAAAAGAGGGCTTTTCTTTCTTCAGTTAAGGTCAAAGAATTTGAAAGAATACAATGAATCTTGTTAATAAAAATGGTGACAGTTCACAAAGATTTTTAGGTGCAAATAGAAATACATATTTCCATAGCAAGGAAGATAAAGCAGGAATGGTTCAACTGATTATTTTATTCAAAGAGAAAATATATTCTCATTTGGATATAACTTCTGGATTTTGTGCTTGTGATGAAAAAAAAATTGAAACTTTGACTTTGGTTTGTTGATCAGAAATAGTTGTCATTACAGAAATGGCTAGTTACATATTAACGTGAGGTTGGAGTGTTTTTATCTTGTACTGTGCTAAGAAGAGTTGGAAGTCAATGCCTTTCTTTTTCTTTTTTCCCCTTGTATATCACACCCCCTTTTCCCCACTCCTTTTCCTTCCCTTAATTTCCTTTTTTTATTTTTATTTTTTATTTTATATAATAAAACAAATTGTAAAAATTGTAAAAAAAAAGAATCATGGCACATAATTCTTTACTGGGATAAAATATTTTTAATAAAAAATATCAGTGTCTGATATAATGGGAAGTTTTGTTCATTGTTGTAACTTATGTTATAAAATAATTTTTGAAAACACCATACATCTATCTATATAGTCCAACTTACCCATAAGGAATTAGATGTCTTTTCTCTCTTTCAGCAATGTGAAATTGGAAGAAACCTATTTCAGTAGGGAGGTGGACAAAGCTTTTCAGAAGGCGAGCCATGAGCTGTTCAAGCAGAAAACACAGCCCTCACTTTTCCTTTCTGCCCGCAATGGCAACATGTATACTCCATCAGTCTATGGCTGCCTGGCATCTCTCTTGGCACAGTAAGTATTAGGCTTGATCTCACATTCCAGGAGTCAGTGAGAACATATGATTCCCTTCCATTCTTCAATATGCTGCATTAAGAGTAGTATATTAAAGTTTTATAAACATTATGTAACAATTCAATGGCTTTCTTGCTTATTAAAATCTGCAGAAATGAATTATTCTAAATAAGTATAAGGGCATCCAGATATAATGGTGGTCCCTAATATTGTTACAATAGAAAGTAATTTTATCCAAACAATACTTTTTATATATTTATATCCCAAATTTATTTTTTCCTTTTTAATAAAAATCACAGCAATGTCAGATATTTAGATTTAGCAGTTTATTGCTCTCTGTTTAGAACTGGGTAACTTGAAATGGAGTTATAGTAGTCATTTATCCTTTCGATATTGATATTCTATGTGCATTTTATACATTATTTTGTTTTTTCTAGAGAAACAAATACATTTAAATGTAATTGGAAGGTCAATAACCCCACCATGGCCTCAAGATTCCCAGACATTTTTGCATCCTATCCATGTCAGCGTGAATTAGTACAATTTATAATTTTCATCTTCAGAAAGGAATAGTTTTATAGGAATACAATATGCAGATTAAACAAGCTACCGGAGGGGGAAAAAAGTCTTTCTCCTGGGATTTTATTTACTGTACATTTTTGCAGGTATTCTGCCAAGCAGCTGGCTGGATCCAGAATTGGGGTTTTCTCCTATGGCTCAGGATTGGCTGCCAGCATGTTTTCCCTAAAAGTATCCCAGAACTCTGATCCAGGTAAGTCTTTTAGGGCGGATTAGGAAATCTTTTTCATTTCTTCCCACACATTTGGCCTACTGGAATGGGCTTCTGAACTAAGCCATTTAAAGATTGTGTTTCAAGTTAATATTTTAGGTACATATTGTCTTATTTTCTTTGTTCTCATGACAAAGTAATAAAAATTATATAGGATTCATCTTTGGATTTAGGGTTATTGACTAAAGTGAGAGAATTAACCCAAGGAGGGACATGCATAGGTGTTGTTTCCCAACAGCAAAATTGCATTGGTAAATTACAAGATTCATCATGACTGACCTCTTTTCCTGATGCTTTTCTTTTCAAAATCTCAGTTTTCCTGATAAGTTCTGGCAGTACAATTTATTACCAAATTGCGGGCCACTTTGTCAGAGTTTGCAGCAATTCAAGCAGCACGCAAGTAAATAATTCAGCAGGATTCATTTATAGAAGAAACTTCTTTATATACAATAATATAAAACATGGTGCATGTATACAATACCCATGCAGTTCTTGGAACGTGGTAGTAAGTACAAGGACAAGAAGCAGAAGCAACCAGAACCAAAACTCAGAATCCAGAAGTCATAATCACAGAAGCAAAATATTACAGAGGCACTATTGCAAGGACAAAGCAACTCTTCTATACAAATCAGTCAAGCTAAGCCATGCCCAGACTCCAAGCTGTCAAACAGTCCCCATTTGCTGACCTATTGCCATGTCTATTCCAATTCATGAACTCTCATATGCTGACACACTTTCAAAGGGATCATAGAATTCATCTAATCACTGAAGACAATACATGTTATTTAAATAAGCAGGTGAAAAGCTGCACTTTTTAATGCTTTGTAAAGGAGCTAAAAGGTTATAAAATTGAGTAGACTGGTTCTTTAATAAAATGTGATTGTGAAATTGATTATGTGCAAAAAATGCATGGTAGAAGGGAAAATTTCTGTTTCTCCAAAAAGACTCGTTTTCTTTTTAAAAAGTCTGCATCAAATGAGCAGGAAAAGAAAAACAATGGTTTGAATTTATAATACAGACAGAAAATGAAACTAAACTAACCCAGAGCAATCGGGAATCTACAGTTGCAATGCAATAGGTATCCAAATACATAGACTTTTTAGCTCCTTTTCTCCCTTGGTCATGGGAACGTGCCTCATGTTCATATTCTAAACAGAACATATGTTGCATCGATGCAGTTTGTCTGTCATGTAAATAGATAAACCTGAATCACCATAATACTTTAGAGGTCCTCAAACTTTTATCTGCCCTATAGTTTCTCAATAATGAAATATGGTATGGCAGAAGTGAATTAGCATGACCAAGGACTGTACTTTACTGAAAAGGGGCTGAAGGCACAAAATGGGTGGGAGCACACATATCAGCAGGACTGAATATAGAGGAAAATTTGCATTTGTCTAAGGCAAACAGGATAAACCTAGGAAATCCAACATAGTGGTATTTTGCATGCTTTCTTTATTTGTAGGGCAATCTAGACCTGAACTGAATGTTTGTACCAGTATTGGATAAGAGTTTGGAAGCAGGTTAATGGCACAGAGGAGAAACAGTTAGGCATATGGATGTAAAACAGGTGGTCATACATATTGTACTTAGCAGAATAAGAATTGAAACTTGCTTCAAGCAATGATAAGTGAGAGGGGAGAACAGGAGAGAACAATGATTTCCCAAGTGTTATTGAGCTGGAATCAGCCCTACCAGATCAAGCCAAAAAAATCAACTCCATAGGATAACTTAGGATTGTCAAACTTGCGGCCCAAGGGCCAGATGCGTCATGCACTGGCCATGCCCACGCCCAGTATAGTGAAGGGGGAAAAGTCTCAATACATCATGTGGCGTTGCCATGATGACGCGAGTTTGACATCCCCGGGATAACTAAAACTACTTTTATTCTGATTGGCTACACTAATGTAATCATGTAAGTCTGATATAATTGTACCTCCTCCCCTTTCTTATACTTCAGTGAATTAGGGAATTGTCTATCTGAGCTGCTTACAAATACTACCAATTTGTTGTAGACTTAAAATATTTTTCACCTTCCTGCACCTTAATACTAAAATGCATCTTTCATATCTCCATCAAGATCATCTTTCTTACTCCTACAGTTACAATTCCCAACAATCCCCATATGCATCCCTGAAGTAGAAACTGAATTCATCAGTAGGAGCATGCAAATGATTTCATTAAGATGGAAATGATGAGCATGCATCAGCAATTCCTATAGCCCACCCATTCACAATTTAGTAAAAGTAAGGAAGATTTGCCTGCCGCAGCTTAAACACTTCTCTTCCATGTTTGGCCTCAAGGAAGAATCTTAGAGCTAGCCTAAAATTAGATGAAAACAAAAATCTGGGGACTTCATGCAAGCAAGAGGGTTCTGCCTTCCTCTAAGTAATGGATCCAGCAATCTATTCTATTTGCAAGCATTAAGGCAGCCACCAATTTCACTGTATTTGTATCTATTTTTCAGTCCCAAGAGTGACTTTTTAGGTAATTTTACAGTTCTTAAACATATTACCTCACATTAATCCAAGCTTGTCAATTCATATTGTGTGCAAAAGGATTACATCAGCATTTCTCAACCTTAGCAATTTTAAGATGAATGAACTTCAACTCCAGCTGAGGAATTCTGAGAGCTGAAATTCAACCATCTTAAAGTTGAAGAAATTAAAAAACACGGAGTAAGAGGATGGAACACTGTCGTACCAGAGAATGAAGCTGTTATGTCTCAAGATAGCACCAACTTTCTCACTGAAAGGTATCTGACTTTTTATTTCAGGCTCTCCTCTGGAGAAACTGGTATCCAGTCTTTCAGATTTAGAGGCTCGCTTAGGCTCCCGGACATGTGTTTCTCCTGAAAAGTTCAATGAGATCCTGAAAGTCAGGGAAAATACTCATAATTCAGGTGAGCTCAAGAAAATATCATCTTAGTTTTGCTTTGTGTATACCAATGTCATCTATCCACTCTCAAAATATTCATGAAAAAGTGGCAATCTGTGGAAACTGCCCCCCTCCTTCAATGGTTGGTTTTCAAAATTTGGGGCCATTTTTGGAATTGAGGAGAGTGAAGGGGCAAAATGGTACCGTAATACTTGAAGATGCTTAAGGAATTTATTCATTCATTAAAATTCTTGTAATAGCATCACAGAAATGGTTCTTGACCTCCCTACTTTCAAAAGGTGTGGCTGTATAAGGTCCTACCTTTCCACCCCATTCAAGGAAGCACGAAATCTTGAAACAGCAGCATTTCAAAAGGAAACTTTGATTGAAAGGAAGTCATTGAAAGACAAAAGCAAAGCAGGATCTAAATTCCCCTTAGGTAATTCCATTAGGATAAGGGAGTTAGAAACTCATCCCCTCAGTCCGATGTTGAATGGGCCAATCCACAGGTGTGAAGATATTGTGAAAATGGTGGTCCTGGAAAGGAGATAAGGAACTGTTCCCAGGCGCTTCTCTCCAGAGGCTTCAGAGCTGAGACAAAACAGATGGCCCTCCCCCTTTACAGATTCCCCAAAGGTAAATCAAAACACAGGGCAGATAGGTGTCAGAGCTAAGGATTACAGGATATGTAGGAAAAAGGAAGAGGGCAGTAAGCGAATAAATGATTCAGCACACCCCCTCCCAAAATTGCAGTATCACGATAGGTATTTGACAGGCTGAAATATTAAATAAAACTATTGACCCTTTGAGGTACAGTAGATCAGTCCTGAAAGAAACTGGAATTCAGCAGAATCTTAAAAGCCTGAGGGAGATTCTTTCTGCCCTTCATGTACTAAAAGATAATCAGGGGGGGGGATTTTTTTTTCTTACATCCTCATATCTATTCAAGTTGATGCTGACATAATAGTTACAGAAATTCTTTTTCGAGGACATCTCTGCTCTACAAGAAGGGGAATCATAATTTTGATAATGTTCTCTTGCTTCTTCAATGCATTGTAAATGCACATAGGAAGACAAGTTAGCATTGCTTTGAGAAAAAGTGTAGGTATCAACATTAACTCTTCATATTGATTCTTACTGATTTGTATTGGCTCATGTTGCTCTATCTTCCCATAGTTGATCACATTCCCCATGGATCCAAGGATGACCTGTTCCCAGGAACCTGGTACTTGGAGGAAGTAGATGAAAAAAACCGCAGGAAATATGCACGAAAACCAGTTTAGAAGTATAGAGTTGTCATTAATGAGTTTTTTTCTGATAAGACAGAACTCTAGGTCTAAGAACTGTTCATAGAAAAGAGATGTGCAGGTGGAAGTCTCAATTGCCATTTATCAGGCAAAAGGAAAAATGAAAATACTTATGAAGATGAGAATTTTGTTATAGTTTGGTAACTGCCTGTCTACCTATCCTGCCTGTCTACCTACCTAAATGTTTCTACATTTAAAAATGTTTCTTACTAAGACAGTAAAATATTAAGAGGATAGATGAAGGTAACAAGAAAGAAAAGTGAAAAAGAGAACACTAATTATATTAAACTTCAAAGTAATAGCTATCTTTTTTTACCACTATAAAACTGATGGCTGGTTAAGAAATAGTTTTGGCAAAGAAGCACTGTCTTGAGGCTGTTTCAGATACATGAAAGATGAGAAGCAATACTATCAAGTTTTGAAAGTAAATTAGGCCAAATGTTTCTACATTTAAAATAAAGCACATAACTATTAGACTTTTGTAGCTGGAAGAGGAATATACCAATATTGTTCTTTGCAAAACAATATTAGGCAAAATAGGCTGATAAACAAAAGTTGAATTATTCATAAATATGTGCAATAAAGAATAATATCAAATCAGAAAACAAAATTCCCACATGGCCTGTATTTAAATCCCTTCTGTCCTGTCTGTTATCAAAACAAAAGGTGAAGAAAAATCTTGCAAATACAGGTAGCCCTCGACTTATGACCACAATTGAGCCCAAAATTTCTGTGGCTAAGCAGGACATTTGTTAAGTGAATTTTGCCTCATTTTACAACCTATCTTGGCACAGTTGTTAAGTGAACCTTTGCAGTCATTAAGTGAGTAGTTGTGAATCTGGCTTCCCTATTGACTTGGCTTGTCAGGTTGCAAAAGGTGATCACATGACCTTGGAACACTGCAATTGTCATAAATGCATACCAATTGCCAAGCATCTAACATACCAATTGCCAAGCATCTAATAAACATAATATGTGTCAGGCTACAGAACTTTTCCCATTCAATCAACAAGAATGAACTTCTGAAAACGTATCAAAAGGAATCTTTTATTGAGATGAGACAATTCATGTAGGGGTCAAAAGCAGTGTCTAAGGCAGGGGTCTCAAACTCAATTTACCTAGGGGCCGCTGGAGGCAGAGTCTGGGTGAGGCTGGGCCGCATAAGGGATTCCACAAAAAACGTTGTTAAAAAAATATCCTCAAATGTCATCAACAGTTAATGATTTCTCCAATACATGAACTGTCCTGAACACATGAATGGAACATTGAATGAAGATCATGAACATTTCCTCAGAACATGGCTTCTCCAGCTTACTCCTTGCTGCCAGAGACTTCACAACGCTTCCTCTCACATATCTGAGCCACATTTGGCTTGAGAGAGGAGGCACTTGAGACCCTCAGTATGGCTTGAAGATGATCATCAGTAAGTCTGGACCTGTACTTGGACTTGTTAAAGTTCAGGGTGGAGAAGAAGCCACGATGAGGAACAGCAGGCAGGACTTCCTTCAGAGGTCCATTCCCCCTGCGGGCCGCACTAATATTATACTTTCATATCACGGTGGGGGCCACAGGATATCGTCCTGCGGGCCGCAATTGGCCCGCGGGCCACGAGTTTGAGACCCCTGGTCTAAGGTCTCTCAGGCATGCAGAGATAGATAAGGGAGTTTAAAACCCCTCCCCTTCTCCTGATGTGTATTTAGTAAAACAAAGAGCCAACATGTTAATTCCCCCCCACCCCCTTTTTAGAACAATCTTTTACAGCATTTCCCAGGGCATACCTAATTCCCCCCACCCCCTTTTTAGAACATATTTTTCAGAGTTTCCCAGGACACATCTCACTGTGGAATTGTTATGGTGTCTTCATCTCCTGGTTGTCTCGGAGGTGATAGGTTCCGGCCATCTGGGTTTCATCTCCCCATTGTATCATGCAATATAAGATTAAATATATTCAGGTTACATCAAGGATATCTTTATCAGTCCCCCCCCCTTTTCTTCCGTTGAAGAAATGATAGATACACGGATCTGACAATATGTTTATTAGATATAGTTATATAACTATCCAGTAATCATTGCATAGTTCAAATATTGGATAAACATGGATTCCCTTCTGTTCTTCATTTTCTCAAGTGTAACTCACAATATGTACAATTTCCACATATAACAATTCACCCTTTCATTTGATACCATCTTACACCTGGGAATGATCATTTATTTCTCTTAACCTAAGCCTAAGCTCTTGCTGGCTTAAGTGGTTGAAGTTTCATTAATACTTCTTGTTGTGACTCGGAGGTTTGAGCCTGCTCTGTTAGAAGACACAGGCTCGAGTAATGAGGAAGAGGAGGATGTGGCCCTGAGGTTTGAGCCTGCTTTGCTGGGAGACACAGACGTGAGCCAGGAGGAAGAGGAGTATTTGGCTCTGAGGTTTGAGCCTGCTTTGCTGGAAGATTCAGAATCATCTTCCTCCCCAGGACCTTCCTCCCTGGTTGTGCCTCAGGTGTCGGCAGATAATCAGGAGAGAGTGCCGGAGTCCTTGGCTGTGGATCAAGCCGAGGAATGCTGGTTTGATGCAAGGCAAAGACGCAGGCAGAAGCATGAAATGCAACGTAAAAGGAAATGTCAAATCAGGGACTGACTTGAGAGACTGACACGCCCCTCAGGAAATAAAAGAGGGCGTGTTAGCTCTGAATCCTCGTTTGGGACAATTTGTTTATTCGGGATAGCAGCTTTGACAAATTCTCTGTGCGGCGTTTGCCTTTTGATTTATGGTCTTGTTTGTTATCGGACTTGGCAGGCAGCTTTTGGAAGACTGCCAAGGATTTCTCCAGTCAAAGGAATTTAACTCTGTCATTCCTGGTCCTGTCTGTTTATTTATATTCCTTTGAAAACTTGGACTCTCACCTCGTGGTCACAGGTGAGACAGAACAACTTCTTGCCAGGGCACAAGCTAAATGTTCCAATTGCAAATTATTATAATATGTAGCTTCCCAAGAAAATATTTCTAAGAATCCTGCTTCTACCTTAGAAAACACTACCACCTCATCATTACAATCTTCAGAATAAGCGTAAAAGTGTAGATCTTTTTCTTCTATAAACCTTTTCATGTTTATCAACATGTTCAGAAGCACCCCACTGAACCACAGGCCAGTGTACATTAGGAAAAGTATAGATAATAATGTGAGGTTCCTTATGTTTAGAGGTATCCTCATGCTCATGTCCAGAGATAGAGATAGAGATCTATCTCTTTCTATTGTATCATCTGATATAGTTTCTTTAAAATCTAGGATCATGATAAAGATTCATCACTTCCTAATATAGTTTTGTTTTCTTATTAATATTCTTAGCATGTGGTATCACCATAACAGAAGTAAGACGTCCAATTGCACAAGGACCTCCAATCACATTAGCTGGTATAAATGCATAAGCATAAGCTCCACAAAACATAACCCATCCTCTAGGTAAAAACAACACCATCTATTTCTTCAACTTTTGTACAATGAAAAACATCCTCAGTAGGCAAGTAATTATAAATTGTTTTTTTTTCTTGCTTCTTCTCTGGATTTTTATATTTCACACAGTCATAAGCTGGAAATATTGTTTTAACTTCTATAACCAACTTTTTCTGATTTGTCCATTTAATTGGCTTTACAGGAGATCCAAATAAAGTAATCACCTTTGACAAAGTATGTAAAGTATAAGCATTAGGGTGTATAATAATCCTGGACTCCACTAACAAAAACTTTCCTGGCACTGGAACTCCTATAAAACAAGTAGCCAAATATCTGAAACTGTAGTTTCCCCTCTCACACAAAAGGAAGAGCTATTCAAAGCTACTCTCATTAGTTCCAGAAAAACATTCTCATTCCTCTCTATCAGTTCTTCTTTAACATGCCTTGCACTTCTACTTAAAGTTCTAGGAGCTTTAACATAGCCAACACTACATACCTTTACAAGTAAATGGAACCTTTGTAAGAGCTATGTTTCCACACAAAAATAAAAGCTTCATAGGAGTATTTCTAAATTCAATATATGGCATAAACAATCCTTCCGTCAAAGCTCTAAATCTCATGTAGGAAGGTGAATAATTACCATATAGCTCAACACAACGATTGTATAGTTGTTCCATTTTCTTAGACAATTCCTTATGACTGGTAACAATGTGCGGTTACATGTTGGATATTTTCCCAAAAACAAACCATCGCCTAAGGCAGATCTTATACAGATTCCAGCCTCAGTTGTAGGTTCAAACAGTGTCAGTGATGTTTGCACTGTTGGGTTCGGTTTGGAAACACAGCTGTTGCCATGTCATTGGATAACTAGGCAATACATCAAAAGCCTCCATTCCTACCCTACACAAGGCAATAATCACTATGAATATCATCTCCATATTGTTAAATGGACTAGGCCCCACTCACCTTAATGTCTGTAGTTTATACTTCAAACTTACAACCGTGAGGTTACATCCACTTCTTTGTCTTCTTCTGCATTCAGGGGACACAGCACTTGCCCAGACCAGTCTATATCTCAATATAATTAACAACACAAGAAGTTTATTACACTCAACCAAGTAAGCAACTCTTCAGTGGTGGGATTCAAAAATGTTTACTACCAGTTCTGTGGGTGTGGCTTATTTGGTGGGTATGGCTTGGTGGTCATGTGACTGGGTGGGCGTGGCTTGGTGGTCATGTGACTGGGTGGGCATGGCTTGGTGGTCATGTGACTGGGTGGGTGTGCTTGGTGGCCATGTGACTGGGCGTGCTTGGTGGCCATGTGATTGGGTGGTCGTGGCCAACTCAATGTCACTCACATCAAGGGGTGCCTCACCTGGCCCCTCTCCTTCCAGCCATTTCTTGTCACACCCAGCCTCAACATATCTATAGTTCTGTAAAAATGTTTTTCACCTTTTTTTGACTTTATTATCTATGTACTATAGATCAGCGGTTGCCAACTGGTGGGCCGTGAGAACATTTTTGTGGGCCGCAGAGAAATCTCACCCCCAGAGCACCCCCACTGCTGGCATTTCAGTATAATCAACTTGTATTCTCTGGAATGGCCAAATGGCCAAATCTCTTTCTCCTTCCAGTTGCTTACACATTATTTCTTATTTATTCTTACACAATGTATACATTTCCTTCCTACTTGCATAGCTATTGTATACATACCTCTACAAATATATTTTCTTTTAACAAAATCCACGATTGCTTGTTTTCCCCAATGGGAACATGCACTTTTTCTATTATGTTTTTCATAATAGATTTACTTACTATTTGCAATCCTTGTTTGGTTATCCATTTGCCATCTATATTTTCTGCACCTTCTAATTTCATTTGCTTTTCTTCCTCTTCAGTGAAATCAGGTTTTACATCCCATTCCAAAACAGGAACCAAAACCATCTGTATTTCTTCTCTCATTTGTGCAGCTTCTTTTACAATCTCATCTGTTAATTTATTTCCTAAAATCTCTTTTGAATGCCCTTTTTTATGGGCTTCCACATGTATTATAGTCAAACGTTCTGGGCCTTCAGCCGCTTTCAGCACTGCTTTTATAAAATCTACCTGTTTTATTTCTTTTCCTTTACTTGTAAACATGATAGTCTCTTACTGTGGTAATGGAGTCGGGGAGAGATGCATTGAGCCATGTTTCACAGACAAATATAATGTCGAAGTTAGCCATATTTAGTAGGATGAGAAATTCAGGTATTTTATTCACGAGGCTTCTTGCATTGAGTAGTTTGCATTTAAGGCCGGCAGTAGTTGGAATTGAGGTAGTTGGGGGCGTGCGTGCCTAGTCTTGGGTGATGGTGGATCGGTTGAGGTAGGGTTGTGGTTGAGGGTAAAAGCTGAGTATTGGGTTGCGTGGCTTACTTTTGATACAGTCAGCATGGTAGTCAATGTACAGGTCCTTCTCTCCATTGTCTAGACGGTTTTTGAGTTCAATGCGGAGTACACGGGAGCGGGCACGTTGCTGTATGGTTAGGTCAGGGCGACAACGGAGGTTCTTATGGTTGGTGTTGGTTTTGGCGAGTGAGTTTATAGTATAAATGAATTTACGTTTGCTTGATTCATTTTTGCAAATGACTCTGCACAGGCGTGGGGCCACAGAGCCGTCACTGTTATTGAGCTCTCGGCCAATGCGTGAAATGTCAAGTATTTCATCAGCGGAGATGGTTGATGCTTGATAATCCCTGATGATGTTTCAGACAGTTGTGATGTCATCATTGTTATTGGTGACCTCTAGACCAAATAAGATGGCGTTTGGACGTTTCCGTTCACGCTCAACAGCTTCTCTGATGAGGATAGGGATATCAATATTTATCTGGGTTGTGTTTATTTGTGGATTGGGTTTTGGATTGGGTTGTGGTTGTTGGGTAGAGATGTGGTTTGTAGCTATTGGAAGTTCAGGTTTTTGCGTTGTTTCTTTTTTTTCAAGGTTGGATATTCTTTCTTTTACGGCGTCCAGGGATGCTACTATGGTTTCAATGGTATCAATTCTTTCCAACAGATCCAGTTTGGGTTTGCATGATTTGCAGTAATATGGAAACTCATTGGATGATTCCAGGTATTGAATAAATTGCTTGGTTAATCCCAAGCAGTCATGATGAGTGTATTTCTTACACAGAGAACATTTGATGGAGTTTTCATTATCCTTTAGATTTTTGTAGCATTTAAGGCATGTGCAGGAGTCTTGTGGATCATTGGTGGGGATTATGTTCTCTTTAGGTTGTGGTTTGGCATTGGATTATTTTTTTTGGCATGGTAAGATAGTATGTTGATTGAATTAATTAAAGAAACAGTTTTAGGTAATCTATATAGCTAATATCACACCAACCACTCAATTGCAGTAATCTCTCTAGTCAGATAATATTTCTGGGCAACAATCAGCCTAATCAATTAAATATTCTAAACACTAATCAATTAATTACACTAATCATTAATCACACTGTTCATTTAAATTCACTAAATCATTGATTTTACTATTCAATTAAATTACATGAATCTTGATCTTTTCAACTAGTCAGTAATCACACTATTTGCACTAAACACTCTAGTCATACTAATCAATTAGGATGATAAATCAATTGAACCATTAATAAAATATTTTATAGAAATTGATTATCTAACCGTTGATATAGGTGATGAGGTAGAAAAGTTGTAAGTTTTGAGGTAATGAGTTAATCAGTGTTTGATTAAAGTAATGAGGTAGTATTAAGAGTCTGCAAGGAAAGGGTTAATGCTGTTGTTGACTGAGAGGAAATTATTGCTCTTTGTAATAGTAGATTGCTATTACTCTGTAAACAAAAGACTGTAATACGATGCTCAAAGGGTTTTTGAAATAGTGTAAAACTTTCGTAAGCTGTTCAAGTTGAGTAGTAGAAGAAAATACAGTCACGTGGCTTGGGTTAACTTATCCGATTTGTCATTTACTTCCAACTAAATCTGGTAGTAACTCCAGATCGTTAAATGGACCTCAGTTCTCCATAATTCACAGCCGTTCAGAATCACACCCTCTGTCAGTTCCGTCTCTTTCTCTGCAGCTTAAAATCACACTGTCCACCAGTCACAGCTCATTGAATGGCTCAGAATCAGTCTCTCTGTAAGTGTCCGAATCACACACTCATAAATTGCAGCTCGTCCAGGCTCTTATCTCTCTCCGCTTCTCCTCAAGTCTTGGTCTCTCTCTCCTCCCTCGTTGTTTGTCCCTGCCAGCTATCCACTGGCTCCGGGGAAACTTGTCTGGGGGATTTGAAATGAGACACGTCTGGCGTGGAAGATTCTCCGATTAGCTGTGTGTGGGATTTAAATGAAGGTTTCTTTGTCACTTGTAGTCCCATCACCTTTTCTAACTCTAATGACTGCATTTATATTACATTTTTAATTATTAATTTTGTTTTCTTTCTATTAATTTTAAGTCCTGCCACTGTTCCAAATCGTTCTAATTCATTAATTAGTTCTTGTCCTCTCTCTGTTGGATTTTTGGTGAATAAAACCATGTCATCCGCAAATGATCGTAGTTTATATTGTTCTTTCTTGATTTTCAATCCTTTTATTTCTGGGTTTTGTCTAATTCATCTTAGTAATATTTCCAGAGATAATATGAAGAATAGAGGTGATAGGGGGCACCCCTGTCTGACTCCTTTCTCCTTTTTTAGTGTCTGAGTGTATTTCCCATTTACCATAATATTCACCTTTTGTGTGAAATAAATTGCAGTTATAATATTTTCAAATTTGGTGTCTAAATTCATATTATAAATTTGTTGGATCAGAAATTGCCAATTTAAATTATCAAATGCCTTCTGGGCATCCAGGAATACAAGAGCTATTTGTTTCTCCAGGTGGGCTTCATAATATTCCAGAACATCTAGCACAATTCTTAAATTATTCCTAATTTGCCTGTTAGGGAGAAATCTGTTTTGATCCTTATGGATATATTCACTCAGAATTCTTTTTAGTCTATTTGCTATAATGATGGCAAATATTTTATAATCGCCATTTAACAAGGAAATTGACCTATAATTTTGTAACAATCGGGCATCCATATCCTCCTTCGGGATCAATGAAATCAGTGCCTCCCTTCATGAGTCTGGCATTTTGGTTGCAACCAGTACCTCATTGTATAATTCCACCATTAAGGGTCCTATTTGTTCTTCTATTATTTTGTAGACTTCCTCCTGGGATACCATGGGATACCCTGAATCTGCAGGTGCAGTAAATAATTTCCCTAGCTTAGGACATTCTATGTATTTTTCATCTAATTTTCTAATGTGGGTCTCCTGTAAGCATACTATATCCACATTCTGTTTAATTAATTTCGATAATATTCTTTTCCTTTTAGTTGCTGAATTTAGGCCATTTATATTA